CAGTACTGCCACTGTTGTCACCACCCCTCATCCAGTCAGAGAACATTATTTGATAAAAAATACTAACAGGGTTATACACATAAGGGTGAAGAGTTTCGAGAAGGCAGGAGACGTGAACAATCTAGGACAACATAGCTGAACTGAAAAGTGGGCTTAATTGGAGAAGTTTTCAAAATCAGCTATGGTGGCCTAGATTGGTCACTTCTTCTGCCTTCTCCAAACTCTTCACCCTTTTGTGAATAACCCTGTAGATGTTCACTGAATGGCCACTGTGCCGAGCAAGCAACCCGCTGTGTTACAGCCAAGGGGAACTTGCTTGCTCGGCACAGTGGCCATTAAGCGAACACCCAGTATTTTTTATCAATTAATGTTCTGTGACTGGATGAGGGGTTGTAACATCATTGGATAAAAGTATATATATATGCAGGCTGTTGATGGTTTATTACAGAACGTTGGAGAGTAATATTTATTTTACTTCGTAGTAGTGCAAATGAATGAATATGTCTTTGGGCTGTTGTGTGAGGTTGGAGGTCTCAGGCCTAAGGCTCTATGGGTTTTGTAATTCCACCACATGGCAGTGTCGGCAAAAATGGATACAACCAGATCTGCGAGGCAAGCTTTTATTTCCCAGGGGCATAGTATTTCAGGAAAATCACAGATCTGAATTTTGTCCATCCATCACCCTGCAGGCAGTTAGACTATTTGGACTGAGCGGTGCATTCTTGTCCCTGATGACTGTGGGAGCTGCTGGACTTCAGAGTGTCAGGGTCTTGCTGATGCTTTCATGAAGCTATTGTGGGGCTAGAAAACTGAATGGATCACCTTGCATGATTAGGCTTCTATACCTTTCTGTGCCACACATGTTCTCCCCATCAAGTGTTATTTTAAATTATGGCTGGAGTGTAACTATAACTATAGCTGGATAGATAAAATAAATCCATGTACACTTAAACAAACGAGGTAGTTGTGTCAATATGATAGCATTTCATTTGCTTCCATGCTCTGTGTTTGTGCTTATCTCCCTGATAAAAAAAAGAGATTATGGTAAGAATGTACTTAAGGTGAACAAGGTAAATTGAGTGAGGTGGTTCCTAGGAAGTTGAGGTTGAATTATTAAACACTGAGCCCAGAGCGAAATACCGTAGCTTTTCTGAGATGCTGTGCGCTTTATTCTTGATTTGTACTGTGATGCCCAGCAGTCTTTTCCAGTTAAATGACATGCACATAGCCATAGACATATGCATCCACCAAACAATGAAAAAAAGGCTAGCAATAATAAAAGTATAAAAATTAAAAAAACTAATATTTGTGTAGTGAAAGTAAGCTGTTTACTTGAATGTAGTGGGGAACAAAGTAGTGTGTAGTGTGATATGTTCACTAAGACAGAGCATGTCAGTGTCTCAGAACACAACTCAGCTGTCAATGTCAAAATAAAGCACTGTTAGAATACATTACCAGTCCAAACACATCATCTTGCATGGTGTCAAACACATCACTATCAGAAAATGTGACAAAGGACAGTTTGCAGGTGGGGGGCTGTCATAAGTTTCGGGGAGAATCATCAGTGCTTATCAATTTGGGAGGGAGAGAGAGGAAGTGACTTGTCAGACCGTCTTGATACTTTGTACACACCGGGACTGAAGAGTTTTCAATGAATGACGAGCGGTGACACTTTTTTCTTTGTCAGACTTTCTTGTTAGAGAGACAGTACCCTGATAGACTAAGAGTGGGTATTATTGCGAGTATGCCCTGTTAAGAGACAGAGATTATCCTACTGGAAATTGCAATGGGATGGACCGCTATGTTAGAAACTACTTTATGAAAGTCTATACCTGGACAAAGATGGAGAGAGATTGTCATATTAGGCTGTTATATTACAGAGAGTGTGCCCTGTTGGAGAATGCCTGCCATGTAAAAGATTGCCCTATCCGTCATTACCAGTGCTATGGAGTGGCAGTGTCATTAATGTACATGGAGAGTTGCACAGGGCAGCTTCCTACTGGTTTGGGGTGTATTGTATTTGCTCTGGAAGTGGCATCTTAAGACCTATCACAGAGCCAAAGTATGCGTGGGTGCATGATGTAAGAGTCTGGGGTGCTCATTAATGTGGGGGGTTTATGTACTCATCCAGTCGAAAGGATACTGATGGTAGTGGGAGAGAGAAGGATGTGGCAAGAATACCCATTCCATATTGTTGCCCTTTCTTTAAATTTTTGGCTGGCCATGGAATCATAATTGTATGTTATATCTTTATTTTTCAAAAGAAAATGCAAACCCCTGTAAAGGTGCAGTTTGAGGAAATGTATTATACATGTTGTACATTAAACATTAAAAAGGAGAATAGATGAATAGGGCTTTCTCTGGGCATTTCTAGAGAAAATGCCATTTGAAGCTTCCACAGGGACCCACGCCCCCATCAGAGGCCAAGCACCACTGCTGTTATTAAGGAAGGTTGAGTGAATTCTATGCTTAGCCATACTTTGAAGTTCCAGCTTTCACAGGCAAACAAATTGGCAGGGGATTGAAATGAAGTTAAGTAAAAGTAGCTGCAGGGCCGGCACTAAAGTGAACCTGTTGCATTGCCATACATGGGGGGAAAAAAACAAAAAACTGCTACACTGTGCTGCCAATATTTTGCCAAACTATAAAAAAATTAGCCACTCCTAATAGAGAACCCTCCTCCAACTTCCCGGCCTCATGTGTTGTGCCTGTATAGTGGTATAAGGATATGAGAGCAAACTCCAGAGGAAGACATGTAAGGGTCTGTGTCAGCTTTGTAATTATCTACAAAGAGCCAGCCTGACGCAGACCACCTGCCATCTCTTTCTAGAGTATGCTGCCAGACCCTTGCAGCACTGGTGGAAAGAATGTACCAGCCCTGCACAGCCCAGACACTTGGATCCCCATTGAAAATATCCACACTATCCATGTTCTGCTGACAACACAAAATGTTGCATCTTGCCTGACTTTCGATCCAAGTGACAATGGTCACGATGAAAAAGAGAGGATGATACTCTTTAGTTAGGACACAACAAGACCAAAGAACCTGATGGTGGTTCTAACTCTTCTATATTCTCCAAAAGATCAGCCGCACAAAACCAAAGTAAATGAAATCCAAAGTTTTATTGATGTAAATCCAAACAAATCCCAAGAACAAGGAAATCCAAAGTATGATATGCAAAATGTACATCACCGTGAGTCTTCTCCATGCCAACGCCTCTCACACATTTCACCACCTGGGCTTAATCATAGAGGTGCGGCTGATCTTTTAGAGATTGATATGACACGTGAGAAGCAGACTGCAGGCTCCACTCAGAGTCTGTACTAATTGCAGCTGGGGATGGAATCGGAGTTCCTTCTATATTCTTTACAAAACTAATATGATTCTCTTAAGTTAGGACACAGCAAAATCAATTACCTGACAGGGGTTCTAACCCTTCTCTATTCTATCCAAAACGAATAAAAATGTGTTTAGATATACTGCAAACTGTTATTGTGTACTCTAAAAATATTAATGGCCTGGATTAGGGATGTCCCGATACCGATGCTAGCATTGGAATCGGGCCCGATACAGGGCATTTTGAGAAGTAATTGTACTTGTCAAAATGCCCCGATGCCTAGCGCCGAAGCTTGCGCTATGTTTTCTTTTTCTTCTTACTTACCTCGCTGAACGTCGCGTCACTGCTGCTCCGGTGGGCGGCGCTCCGAGCGGGGTCATCAAGGACATATGTACTGCAGATTATGATTTAACCCATTCATGTTAGCAGGGCAGAATTGTGAGCGCCTCCCACAAGCTGAGCACCGCGATGCGATGCAGCGATCCTGCCCAGCACCGACTACAAGAAGCACCGCGTGAGGCAACAAGGATCATAATGAAACTGTGAGTAAGGGAAGCTGGGATGGGGCTGGCTGTAAATCTATTGCTATAGTGTACTGGACGTGTGTAATATATATGTAGTACATATATACAGCACACACCTCCACTACACTCCAGCAATAGAGTTACAATTATCCCCTGCTAACATGCATAGGTTAAATCATGATCCATAGTACATAACATGTAGTTGTCCTATGGATCATTTAAAGTCACCTGTCCCTTTAAGAAAAAGTATCGGTAATTGGTATCGGCAAGTACATGAGGGGATGTACTTGTACTTGGGCCTGAAAAAGTGGCATCGGGACATCCCTAGCCTGGATTCCATGTAGATCTTTAGGCTTTTTTTTTAGTAACAGACCCAGAACAAATAGGCACTAAGTGAGGTTCGGACTCTTAGACGTCTATTTATAGCGGAAATTTGACATCTATCTACTCTCTGCTGTTTACACTGCACCTGCATTGGACTCATTTATAAAATGCAGGATGCAGTGGGGAGTCTGTAGTGTCCCACGGATGTGTTCTTTGCATAATGCTGCAGAGTATATTCTGTGATTGGTGGGAAGGCCAGAAGATAGGTCATGTGACTAGGCTCTCCTCCTGGCTTTTTTTTAAATGAATTTACATGCCCCTTTAATCTTCAAGCTTGTTTTCGATCAATGCCTTAGAATAGGGGTAGGCAACCTTGGAAATTCATATGTTGTGGAGCTTCAACTCGTATGAGGTATTGCAAACATGGCATGACTTCCAAAGGCAGATGGATGATGGGACTTGTAGTTCCACAACACAGCTAGAGTGCCAAGATTTTCTACACCCGCCTTAGAAAATACCAAAGAGTTACAACTAGGAATGCAACATTTTCAGTAGGATATAAATGTATTCATGTGAAGACAGGTTCCCTTTACAACTCTATGTTGATTGAGTGCTTAGTAAAAGTACTTTAATTTCTGCTTAACAAACGTCTTTCTCTATGGCCATATAGAACCATTTATCCATATAAAGTCTAACAATAAACACCCCAGTGAGTTTGGCCATATTGAAAACAAGATCTCCCCAAGATAGTTTCAATGTGTGACTGACAAAATAAATTGCTCATTTCAACCATTCTGATTTTTGAAAGGTTTTATTTTAGCTTTTTTAAAATCACTTTTTTTGCATCCTTCAGGTTCATTCAAAGGCAAAAATACTGCTACAAAATAGGAGTGAAGTGCATGCTTTGAAAAAAGGGGGCATATAGCATGAGGTAACAGGGCACAAGGCAATTCAAGGATAAAATCAGGCAATAGATTAAAGCAAGGGTTCAGGCATCTTGACAAGAAGCAAAATGTGCAAAGTCAGTAAGGGGCAGGAGATATGATAAGGCAGGGAAGCACTGGATAAGAATTGGGAAAAGGGGTGATGCAGGAAAAGTTACAGCATATCCATGATGGGGGCAGTTTTGAGGCTGTAGGAGAGATGGATTTAGGTAGAAAAGTATACTGCAATGGAAAATAAATCTTGCAAATATACTGAGCTGCATCATCACATTCTTTAAAAGCATACCCAATACTGAGAAGAAAAAGAGAGAAATATGATATGATTTAGACAATATGGTGATGGAAATTGTTCAGTACAGGGATAAAAAATGTTAACGGATTTTCAACAGTCATTGTCCATTTATTTCTATATTGGGGTTGATGACTCTGTTAATAATAAATCTGGCTACACATGTAAAATTTTCAATGGCCAATTTGGCCGATGTCAGTCAGAGCCCTTGCAGCTTTTGTGGCCTTATCCTGCACGGTGAAAATCTGCTAGAGAAGGATAAAGAATTACACTGCGTGATGAGCATTGGCATTTTGTGCATTCACCGGCCAATCACGCTGCATGAACTACACCACAGTCTGCTTATTTAGTCTGACCCTCCTCCCTTCCCAATAATCTATCTCTGCACAATATGCAACTTTACTTCTACAGCCAATTCACAGATCTGGTCTTATGGAGTGACAGACAAACAACAGACTGTAAAGTGTGCAGCCAGAAAAAATAGTGAGATGGGGAGAGCGTGACTGTGCATAACAAAGGGAGACAATGAGAGACAAGAGGAAGGAAGAGAGAGTAAAGCCCTTTTTATGTAAACATTAGGGGTAGAGAGGTAGAGAAGGAGAGACAGATAGAAGAGAGACAGTGTGAGAGAGTTAAAAAGGAACACTTTTTCATCTCATGTCAAAAAATACGAGATGAGGAATGCAAGCGAAACATCGAGAAACAGCACGGCAGCCACCACAAGAGGATCAGCATCCTGCAAGAGGAAGATAACTGATATCAGAAAGAGAAATCTAGACAAAGACTCAACACAAAGGAGAAAAGATTAAACTGATTGTATTCCCATCTTTCCCATCTTACCCTTTGCATACGTGATTTAAGGGGGGACTCTTGTGTCCCCCCTGCATCCACAGGTTCTTCCACGCACTCTATGCTAGGTGCAGAGTTATTTAGTCTTTTTTCAGGTGTGGATTCGATGGGACTTTGTTCCTCTGAGTGGTCTGGCACATGTGTGGGGGTTTCCACTTGAGAAGGAATATCCTCTTCCTGGATAGGGGGGCATGGAGTCCCATCTCGCAAATGACAGCATGAAAGGGCTGGGGGGGTGTCAGGGTGGCTGGGAGGCAGGCTTGGTTCTGGGGTTTGGTCAAGTGGTGTCTCATCATGACACATTTCATTGGGGCACTGCCTAAGCCATGGAATATCACTGTCAGCAATTTGCTCCTCCTCGTCTTGCACACAATTTGAGCCTGTTGGAAAACAGTAATAAAAACATGTGTATGAAGCAAAGAAAACAAGTATAATGTTGTCATACTACCTGCACTACACAGGAAAAAGTAATTAACATTAAAGCACCTCTCTAATATTACTTATCTTTGTAACCGATATTCCTTCTTGTTTAAAGTGTATTTAAACCTAAGAATAAAAATATAATATACTGCAGCTTAGCAGCCTTTAGATGTGGTGCCTGCATTCATTTTCACTTTTCATGTTGGTAAGCTAATATACTATAATTTGGGGTTTAGATACATTTAAAAGTGTTATTAAACCCCACATGTCTTAACCCATATATATTACAGCAGACATGATCAGTTACTTTGCTGTTTCCTTTTTTACCAATACTCAAATACCTTTGCGAACATTCTTTGAAAATTCAGTCACTGAATTTATAGACCTTGAATTTGTAGTACTGAACTGTAGAACTCAGAGATAGCTAGAAACATTGTTACTGATAGGAATGTAACAGAGGCAGAGAGCACAGGAAGTTCTGGTAGGACCAACAGGTCTTTTTTTGCAATTATCAAACGGATATAACAAAAAGCTGGTATATTTAACGACCAAAAGGGACAACAAAAGAAACGTTCATTGTTAGCATCAACATACCCTTTACATCATTGAATCAGCCTGTATACTGGTTGACGTGTAAACTGCTGTAATTCTTTGGATGTATCGCTGTATGACATGACATAATAGTATGGTCTACTGAAGGTACCGTTCACTTGTATATACTGTAGATTTGTGAGAATAAATATACTGTGAACAGGTTTTTCATTACTTTATTCCTGCAAACAAGTAGCTGAGTAATCGGTTTCTACGTGTCAGCTGTGAAATATGTACGCTTCTGTGTCTAAAAGGGTTAGCAATCTACAAATAATGATGATGCTGGCATGAATACCAATTAATTAATTTGTTCAACACAGACATGAGCTGTCTGCCAAAATGGCTTCTAAATGACTTCTTCCTAAACCAAGCAAGTGTACTGGAAATTCAACACGTCTGGCAATAGTAACAATTACTTGGTAGTTAAAACTATAATGACTATGCAGCTGAGTTCTGGACTTTGCTTTCACAGATTCAGCAGGAATAAACTGGTAGCTTAATCAACCTATTTATGTAGGTATATAAATTTAGATGAAAGCTACATCTAGAACTCTGGGGTAAGTGAATGGATGGGGGAAGTGTTGACAGCTATAGAGAGTACACATTTAAAAGGAAGGATAAAATAAATATGAAAGGAGGGGTATGGATAGGGTAGTTAGTACAGACTGACAGTTCCAAAGGAAAATCTGTGTGTCATGGGTGTTCATCACTTATTGGATGGCATGCAACTGCTCCATGTAATATTCCTTTAGGGCAGGTAGGGAGATGTTAGTTTTTGGCCATTTTGTGTGTCTCTTGCCATGGGGCAAGTGATACAATTTGTTGTGGTATTGGAGGAAGGTTTAAAAAATAAATATTGTGAGGCACTGGCTGGCAGGATTCTAAATGGTGTGTGTCACCTAGGTTTCTCTCTTAATGGTGAGTGAAGGATTCCAGGGACAAATGTTTTGTTTTCTCAGAAACCTAATTAGTTCAGTTTTTGGCCATGAAACCTGAAGAACTTTGGGCGGGTTAAAGCCTCCATTCATAGGTCCACATCTTAACTGGTAGCCAGACCTAATTACAGTAAACTCACAGTTATCCGGCACCCACGGGGATTGGTAGGTGCCAGATAACTGTAGTTTCTGGTTGCTTGAGAGTTAATAGTAGCTCTCAATCAACCACCCTGCGGGTCTCATCATGGCTGCGTGCAGATCTCGCCAGGGTTGCGTGCAGATCTCACTAGGGTTGCGTGCAGATCTCACTAGGGTTGCGTGCAGATCTCACCAGGACTGCGTGCAGATCTCACCAGTGTTGCGTACAGATCTCACCAGTGCTGCGTGCAGATCTCACCAGTGCTGCGTGCAGATCTCACCAGTGCTGCGTGCAGATCTCACCAGTGCTGTGTGCAGATCTCACCAGGGTAGCATGCAGATCTCACCAGGGCTGCGTGCAGCTCTCACCAGGTTTGCGTGCAGCTCTCACCAGGTTTCCGTGTAGGTGTCACCAGGGTTGCATGCAGATCTCACCAGTGCTGCATTTGGGTTCCACCAGGGCTGCGTTTGGGTCTCACCAGGGCTGTATTGGGTCTCACTAAGGCTGCGTTTGGGACTCACCAGGGCTGCATGCAGATCTCACCAGGGTTGCATGCAGGTCTCACCAGGGCTGCGTTTGGGTCTCACCAGGGCTGCATTTGAGTCTCACCGGGGCTGCGTTTGAGTCTCACCAGGGCTGCGTTTGAGTCTCACCAGGGCTGCGTTGGGTCTGACCAAGGCTGCATTTGGGACTCACCAGAGCTGCGTACAGATCTCACCAGGACTGCATTTGGCACTCACCAGGGCTGCGTTTGGGTCTCACCAGGGCTCTCCAGGTGGGTGCCGGGCTGAACGGGTGGGATCTGGGCTCATGCCAGGCTCCGAGACTGTACAGGTAGGTGTGGGGCTGTCCTGTGCTGTACCGGCACCAGGAAGTAGTAGGAGGCAATGTATGGAAGGACAGGCACTGTCAAAGACAGCTGCCTGAGGTCACCAGCATACACGGGACCTCAGGCAGCCGAACTTGTTTATAAATTTAAGGGGCCGGTAGCTGCCTTTAGAATCGGGGCCTTTTCACGAGTATCAGTATCAGGACATCCCTAGAAAAAACACTAACTTATTTGTTTTGAAATGTACATTTTCTAGAGCTATCATCTTTATCTATCCTTTGGTACCTGGTAAGTCAGTTATCTAGAGCGTGATGTGCATAACTTCTTCTGAGGCCACTTATCAGATGCACTGCCCCAGCCAGGGCCATGTACCTGCCAACCAAGACCAACTTATGATCTTATGGTTTTCCTGTTGTAACTGGTCCTATCACATGTCCAGTTACTCAACAAAAACAGGATTTTGTGTACTTACCACAAAATCTGTTTCTTGGAGTTCATTAAGCAACACAGGATTAGTAGTTATTTTTTTATGACTGGGTTATTCTGTTGCCTACAGGACTTAGATTTGGACACTGGCAAACAAAAAAAGCCATTGGCCTTGGCAGGTAAAAGGGGACCTTGTCCTTAAAGTGTATCTCCACTTTCGCAGCCAAATTGTGATAACACTTATTTTATACATGTTCCCATTCACATAGCATAAGCTTCTTGCAGTTTAAATTGTTTTACATGGGTTAGGGCTTTAAGGGTAAAAATTTCTTCTGGATTCTATTTCTTTGAAACGTTAGGAGGGGCTGTGAGGGGTCTAAGGTGGCTTGCCCATTGTATGTTAATGAAGTTTATCAGATAAACACAATCCTCCAATTTTTTTTTCCAAGTTATTTTTCAGTATGCTGTGTGATTAGGAGCACATAACAAACATATAGAGGGGTTTTTCTCAAATTTGACTGCAAAAGTGGAAATACACTTTAAGGGCATAAAACTTAAAAGTGATCTGTCTGAGCCATTATCTGTCTGGCGGAGCAAGAAGCTGGTTCTCATTTACGGGATCATCAGAAATGACAAAAAGAGAGGCAGTCTTTTAAAATGAATCAGTGGCTGAGAGGTAAGCCGATATAGCATGAACTACATCTAGGCTATAAAGGTAAACCTTCTTCTGATATACTGGAGCCTGACAGAGAGATAAAAGAACAATGCCCTGGCTGAGGTGAAAAGGCTCTAGGCCTCAGTACTACCTTATCCTTGTGTAAAACCAAAAAGGTTCTTAGCAGGATTAAGCTGCTAGCTCAGACATGCCTTGAAGAGGTGAGGGCCACAAGGAACGGAGCCTTGTGAGTGAGAGAGGAAAGTGGATTATCAGTAACAGGTTCTAAAGGCGGCCTTTGAAGTACCAACAGAACCAAATTTAGATCTCATGGAGTCACAGTAGGTTGTACAGAAACAGCCACATAAAAGAAACCATGTACAAAAGTCTTAACCAAAGAATGAGAGGTTAGCAATCTTTTTTATTCAGATTGCAAGGGCCGAGATCTGGCCTTTGTTGGTACTGAGGGTCAAATGTTTATCTGAACTGCATTGTAAAAAGGTTAATATTCGTCCCATGGACTATTTACTGGCCTGAAACTTTCTTTCCCAGCACCAAGTGAAGTAAAGGTGCACATACACTCTTCGATCTTGGTTTGGAAATCTTCCACGAATGGTCTTTCGAACAGTTGATGGGACACCAATGATTTTTTTTTTACTGTAATGCCGCTCAAATTTTCTTGAAAGGTGAGGCTGGAAAACTTTTTTTGAATCGACCGAAAATCCATGGATTAGTGGCGTTTTCATACAAAACAAATCGCAGCAAGAACAGTGCACATGTGCAAACGAAAACCTGTTCTGTCGGTCGACAAAATTCTGTGAGTTAGTATTGCTAACGAACGATTATCGAAATCGACATTGGTCTCTAAATTGATGGGCTATTTGAGCTAGAATCAAAAGAGGGTTCTAGGCAACAACGAAAATTTCCAATTGAAAATCTATATGCATGTTCAGTGGTAGTCCTTAAGGGAGGTAGATTTCCTAATTTAGATCTGGGCTAACATGGAGCTGTTTCTTGGTACAAGAGCAGGTCCAGGAGAGTTTAAAGCCTATCTATAGGCAAAAATTAAGACGAATGAAAGGTGACATTTCTCCCTCTGAACACCATGTAACGGGCCCTTCTCCACTGACCGCCAACTGACCGCCAACACTTACTAGAAATGTAAAGTAGCATTACACTGTCAGAAATTCAAAGGGGAATTTCTCCAATGACCACCCATGTAAATGGATGAATGGATGCTAATTTTTTTTAATGCTTGCATTGCTTTAATAGGCGTGTGCAGCCTATTGCACCAGTGTGTGCACACAAAAGTACAAACACACACGTGTGTCTGTGTGTGTGTATATATATATACATATATATATATGTATATATATATTTATATTTATATGTATCAACCACCAACCACTGGGAGGGAGCTGCGGAGTGTTGGCCTGCTGCATGCTGGCAGTTGTAGTCCCAGGAGGCAATGTTGGCGTCTTGGCGGTTTTGGGCCCGGGCTCTCTTGTTCCTTTCTGGGCCCGGTAACTGCTTAGGCATGCAGCAGGCCAATGCTCCGCAGCTCCCTTCAGTGTTGGTTGATACTCGCTAAGGCCCAGTTACACATGCAAACGCTGCGACCCTGGTAGTTCCACCAGTGTTAGTCATTGTTTAGCATCCAGAAAATTGCCTCTGTCTGACCTGCCTGTCCCTGCTGACAGAACCCCACTGCAGACTGTTACACACATACATAGGAGGACTACCTTCCCCATCATCTGCTGGAGAAACAAATAGGGGAAACCATGATCAGAGTGAAGCCTGGCTGCTGTCTCCCCTTTAATGATGACACAGTTGCAAGTCTAGTCCCTTGCTTGGAGAGCTCAGCACTGCATTCTTCAACTCAAGTTCAGTGCTGCAAACTACCAGGAACTTCTGCTGTCTGATGTCCTCTGGAGCAGAGCTCAGTGGAGGGAATTTATCAAAACTGGAGCAGACAAAATCTGGAGCAGTTGCGCATGGCAACCAATCAGCATCTCTCTTCAGTTTGCTCAGGTAAGATTGAGAATGAGAAAGAGAAGCTGACTGGTTGCAGTGCAAATCTGCTCCGGATTTTGTCTGCTCCAGTTTTGATAAATTCCCCTCAGTGTGTTCAGTTCTATTAAACACGGCATCCCCGGCTTCCGACCAGAGCACAGCTCTTGGTGTTGTGCACGGGGTGATTAGGGTGTATATGATTGCTTTTCTAGGTGTTATTATTATTTATGTCATTCCATGATAATTTTTTTGTATAGAGTGGGGGGGGGATTAAAAATGTTCTATTCCAGATGTCAAATATTTTAAAAAGGTTAGTTTGTTTTTAGGTGAACTAACTTACAACACCCTCCATGTTTTTGTGAAAATGTGAACTAACCCTTTAACTATGCCACATTCCTTATTCCTTTACCGTTTTATCTACTACTTACTGATCACACTGATTAATGTGTTTAGATTAATAGATATAATCATTTCTAGCAAGGGGTTCTCTGAGATCTGAATTTTTTTTAAGGATTTCTTTGTGGTAAATAAAAAACTTGAGAAAAACTGTTTTGAATGCTAATACCACCCAACATTAAACATGGAATTTAGGAAAATTCAGGAAATTGATCCTTAATGAGGAAGTGTTAGCAATTGCAACAGCAGACAATCACAAAGGCTCATTCACACCTATACCTTCAACATTCACATTGATGCATGTACACAGTTTAGCTATTGTTTTCAGTGGAGCTAGCCCACATGAATGTGATGTGCCGTCATGCATTTTAGAAAACAGTACTTGTCATTTTTTTAACATGCTAACATGCACCAAGGGGCCCATAGAAGCACATGCACATCCACGTACATGCACTGTAAATACAAAGAATGCATTGCTGTGAAGCCAGCGCTCCATAACTTGAGCCTGCAGGCACCACCCTTGGGTTCCCAAAATATAGGATCACTTCTTTTACACAGAACATTGTAATGTTTTACTGTTCATCACTTAGTTATCATAATGTGCAAATAAGCTTGTATGTGATGGCTGTTTTTGGACTAATGATGATGAAAAAAATGTGTAATTGATAACAATGCTGAGAAATGCTACTGCTTTGCCTCTGCTGCCTGTCTAATGGTACAAATGGCCCTGCATAAAGTTTGATAAAAGCAAGCAATGCAATAATTTCCATCTGTGTAATGGTGTAATAACAAGGATTCCCAATCGCTGTAAATGGTCAGTAACACATGAAAAAGTCTCTTCAACATTCAAAAGTTGTTTTCAATGGAGAAAAGGCGATGAAATGTTCATGTGCTAAGAACATCTATTGGCTAGATTGGGGGGAAGGCTATGCTGCAGAAAACGCTTGAGAATAGGCAGATGTCTTATAGCCTGTGTTTTTCTAGAAACCCATGTGTGTTTACCAGTAGTATGACAGGTAATAAATGGGATATTCACAACAATTAGAGCCTGTGTCAATGGGCTATTGTTTACATCAGAAATGCTTTTCTTTATATAAGTCAAAGGGAAGGATAAAGCAGTTTGCAGCAGAATAGGTACAGGTGAGAAGGAGGTCAACTGCACATGTCAATGAATTATCCAAAGTGTCTCAAACTGATGTCAAAAGTATCTTACTGGTGTTCCGGAAGCTAATTTTGATTAGTTACTGGACCATGTATGGGTTGGGGGTCCCCTTCACATTCTGTTGCGTTCCAGAAGAACTTGCTGATCTAGTTACCTTACTAGCATTTTGCTAATCACCCTAAAGCTGGGTTAGTAACATTAGTAAAGAACTGAATGTAAATATCTCTATAGGTTGAACTCGATGGACTTGTTATTCAGTCGTTCAGTTATTTTTGGCACCTCTGTCTGGTATACAAAGATGCTGGCACCTCTTTTTAGTGTATAGTAACTGGTTTAAAATGATAAGCAGCAGGTAATGCTACAGACTATAAATAAATATAGAAAAGCCTCTGCTACTGGTATACTTGCATATATATATAGTCTGACATAAAGATATTTGAAGTTGCATAATAAATATGCTCACTTGGTGTCTCCAGCAGTTCTTCCAGGTCATGCGAGAGGATTCGAGCAGCTCGAGATGCCTCCAGTGCCTGCTGAGCAGCTACAGATGCAGCTTCAGCTTGAAGACGGGCATCAGCAGCACTAAAGAGAGAGAGGGAGATCTCATTTCACTACTTGCAAATAACAGGAATAGGGAGTTCATCGTCAAAGAAACTTTCAAACAACTAATAAAAAAATACAGAGAGTAGTTCTAAAAACACAAAATGTACTGCAGATGTCGCAGATAGCAAGGATGAAAGAACTACAAATATCAATGCAATGGGACGATATTTAATTGTTAGCACATTAAAGTGCAAATATGTATACATTTTAATATTAAATATCAATTCATATATTTGATGTAGTGCATACAAATTCATAATAATTATTCATTCAATTAACTTTCAGTTTAACTGTTGGGGCAACTAAGGGCATCCAGTTAAAGGGATATTAAACTCAAAAGGGTTTTAAGCTATTTCAAATGCTGATGAAATCACTTACAATGGATGCTGCTCTTTGATGTTTAGAAGTTTTAGTTTCCTGAAGAGTCAGCAGATCCCTGATATCCTGTTATAGGGTGGCTATTTTCCCTTGCAGGGTCCTATGGAGCCACTCTTGAGTGTGCTCCTACAAATACACAGGCACAGCAAAGCAAGCCACTCCTCTCCTCCCTGCCCCCCTCTCCTCCTTCCTCCCTTCTCTAAGGCCCGGTTCACACCTGCGCTTTCCGTGGACGTGCATGCTCAGCACGTGTTAATGGAAACGCGCACAAATGCGCAACGTGCTTGCAGTGCAATTTATTCCTAATGGCACCCCAAATGCGCCCAGCAAGAGGCGCGCATGAAACCATGGCACCTGCAAGTCGTGGGAACGCGTGTCTTGTTTGCAGGTAAACGCGGCAAAAAAGCTAATTTGGCATTTTGGAAAGAAATACTTTGCTAGGCAATGTCTATTTGTTTGATGTGGAATCTGCATTAGAGAGTTTATTATCACTTTAAAGTGACACTAAACTCAGGAGTTACATCTTAGAAATGCATTCAAGTACCTTAACTATTAACAAAAATGTATCTTATTGTGTGTGTGTTGTAAAGTAGCCATCGCTCCAAGCTCACTCCCGTGATGGACTACAAGCTCAATACAAATTAGTAAACTAAACATGAGATTGTAGTCTATCACAGGAGCGAGCTTGGTGTGGTGACTACTTTACAATACACACAGGGACTATGGGGAACAAAAGTAACCCCCCTCCAGAAGGAAGGACAGTGTCAGCACCAATTCAGAGAGGATTTGAGGATCTACAGCTGAGTGATACACAAATAAGGTACAATATTGTGCATAGTTAAAGGAGAACTAAGGGGTCAGGGCTTTCCCCCATAGTTCTCCTAAGTGTAACGGGAGGACACAAACTAGCGTCCTCCCGTCACCCTAAGACACTGCAGCCGGGACGGATCCTGACCATTACTGTCTGGATCCACCCAGCTGCGTGAGTGACAGCTGGTTCTACCTATCTAGAGGCAGAGCCAGCTGTACCCGCCCCCTCCCCGTCCGTTCCGCCAGTCAGCGCTGGAGGATCGGACAGGTTAGGGGGGATCCCTGCAGGGAGCCGTGAGTGACAGTCAGGGCTCTCTGCAGGGACAGGATCGAGAAGTGAGCGAGCGGCGGAATGTGTTCGCTCACTTTCCGATCTATTGAGCCGACCTGTGACAGTTTAATTGTCACACGTCGGCTAGAACTATGAGGCTGAGTGATTTTTCACTCGCCTCATAGTTCTCCTTTAAGGTACTTGAATGGATTTTTAAGGTTTAACTCCTGAGTTTAGTGCCACTTTAAGCAAATGTTAAGCAAAAATTCTACTGCTGCATATATTACTTGATATCTTAGATCTTGTTGAGCTTATTTTGCCACATAATAATATGTACCAGGTGGTAAATGATGTGTTTACAGCAGTATTGCAGTTAAGCTATGAAATATTTAATTAATTTACCTGAAGGTGTGTATTTGACTTTGCACATCAGAAACACAGATTGTTTGCAACAGACTGTATACTTTGTATTTAGTGTTAGATTAGTTGCATTCAATGCAGACATAGTAACAATACCTTACATTATTGTACATCAGCACCAAACTTTGTATCAATCTTATATTACAGCATAGATTTGTCCTGACTTGACAAATGAATAGTGTGAAATTAATGTGTGAAATGCCATTAGGATTACAGTTATTGTTAGGTTGTGTTTAGAGTTAGGGTTAAAGCTATACTCTATAAAGCTTAAAAGAGGACTATGGGTTCAGTGTTTTTCCCCATAGTTCTCCTGAGGGTCACGGGAGGACATATACTAGCGTCCTCCCGTGACCCAAAGCTCAGTATATCGCGAGCTACAGCTTGCGGTATACTGAGACCATTGCAGCCGGGACGGATCCCGACATTACTGTCGAGATCCGCCCAGCTGCGTGAGTGACAGCTGGCTCTGCCTATCTAGAGGCAGAGCCAGCTGTAACTCCACCGTCCGTTCCTCCTGTCAGCGCTGGAGGCGGGGAATCCCTGCAGAGAACTATGACTGACAGTCTCGGCTCTCTGCAGGGACATGATCGAGAAGTGAGCAAGCGACAATATGTGTTCGCTCACTTTCCGATCTCTTGAGCCGACCTACACAGTTTCATTGTCACACGTCGGCTCGAACTATGAGGATTTGTGATTTTCACTCACCTCATAGTTCTCCTTTAAGCAAACAGCTAAATAGAAGGATGAAATTCATACACGGAAGTTGGTTATATGCCAAAGTATATGTATTTCAGTTCAACCCCTTATACAACACTGACACCTGCACAAGAGGAGGGCACTACTTTCTCTCTTCCATTTATAGTTTGTAGAAGGTGCACATGTAAAGAAATACTTTGCTGGGTGCTGTCCTCTCCTCATCCCCACCCTGGCAACCGGAAAGTGAAAGGGCAGCAGGAAGTGTTCTCTCCTCCTAATAGAATGTTCATTGTCTGCACATGTGCATGCACCACACCTGACTGGCTTCCAGTCCTCCCCTTCCTCTCCGAGTCTGAGTCCTGCTGTATAGAGGATTGCAAGTGGCTCTTATCATGTCAAATTTAGATACTTGCACTAGTTGTGTTTAAAAAATACATTCAATGTTTTAATAATGAATACCCAGCTGAATTAATGTTTGTGTTTTATATCGGCCTGGAGTTCAACTTTAAAAGGTAAGTGTTTAGAGGAAACTTCAGGAGTATGGTTGGGGATTAGGGTTCATGGATTAGGTTGAGGATTTAATTGAGGGATGGCAGCATTGTAATAGGAATACATATTATAGCTGTTTTTGATAATGCAATCAAGCAATGAAGCTGCCTTCTGTCTGCCCATCAATTTCAACAACTTCCTGGATTCATTTAATGAATGCTTAACGTGATACAATCTCAATTTCTCAAGACTACCCATCCCATCATGCAATGCTTCCAGCAAGCAATGATGATGTCACATTGTTCAGACGTTGAGTTGTAGTTCAGAAGGCAGGCTATCCGAGAGTTGTGAGCTGAGCGAAATTGTGTCAGTGCAGAGAGGAAGCACACCCTATGGGCATCTTCAATGGAGGAGTGGGATAGAACTTATGGAAATTCAACATAGAAATACATATTTTTTTTTTTTGACCCTTTAAATTGATTCACTGATTTTACATGTTCAGGTATGTTTATTAATAGCTTTAAAACTTCACATATACAATAAGCATATGTGACAAATGCATAACATCAACAAAAATGAACTAATGTATAATGCATGAGAACTGAAGCTGTGATGGAAATGTCTGCACTGATTGTGGCATGCAAAAGACAAGACTGCGGATCTTCAAATGCTGAAAATCAATGTACCACTGAGCATAGCCATATTATAAATAATGTGTTACACAACAAAGTATTTTGTGTTACACAACAAAGTGTGTAAAGCATATTCTTAATATTTATGCCACAAGTACTGAGTAGAAACAATGGTTGTTTTTTGAAACAGACATTTTGGTAGGGTGCCCCACCAAAATTTCTGCTCCATGTGACTTGCAATTGCTTTTTTCAGCCTAACAACTTCATTTACATCTTCATGTATGTTGCACATCAAAGTCTTTGCTGTTTCTTTGCTGTGCCAGTGCCTTTTTTTGTAAAGACTATGTAACCAAATTAAAGAAAAACAGGCAGAATTTTTCTTAACCCTTGCAGTGGGGCTAGGGTTCAGGTCCGGAATGTGGTGGCCAATCCATGTGTGAAAATTAAGTCTCATGCTCCCTGAACCATTCTTTCACAATTTGAGCCCAATGAATCCTGGCATTGTCGTCTTGGAATTTGCCCGAGCTATCAGGGAAGAAAAAATCCATTGATGGAAAAACCTGGTAATTCAGTATATTCAGGTAGACAGCTGACCTCATTTTTGGGGACATAAAGTTGATGAACCTAGACCTATTATACAATGGAACGCCCTGACCTATTTGCTTAGCTAAATCCAGGTGGTGAATTTTTTTGGCCAGTATAATTGATCCATTGATTTACGCAGTGTAATTGATCAATTGATTTACGCAGTGTAATTGATCCATTGATTTTTTTCCCCATCTCTTGATCTCTGGTTACCATTGACTTCAAATTTTCTTCTCGGACTAATGCCCTTTACCTGGTCAATGATTTTTGGCGGACAGCCTTTTTTAGTTAGTCATGGCTGTTCCACAGTCTTTATATTTAAAAAAAAATCGATTTAACGTGCACTCTGAATGGGGCCTGTTCTAAACTCATTCCAAACTTGTTTTGATAGCTCCTTAATCTTTGTAAAGGTGTTTGTTTAGATAAATTGTCTAAAAAAAAATGCACCCATGTAGACTCTATTAAACATTTTCTGACATCTGAAGGAAATACAATGCAGTACAGCTAATTTAGGGATTTCACAGCAAAGGGGGTAAAAATGTATGCAATAAAGTCTATTGACATTATTGACTATTTTATGTAGACCGTTAAAAAAAATCCAAATTAAAACCATTTTAATTCTGGGCTGCAACACTACTGAATGCAGAAAAGTCCAGGAAGGATGAACATTTACTGTATGGTAACTGTTCTGGTAAAAT